GTGTGCTCTCAGTGAAAAATCAGATTAAGTAAGGTTTTTCTTTTCCCTGGGACAGAAAAAACAATGCCCAGTGCACAGTATGTAGGAATGTGTCACAACAAATAATCAAAAGGCAGGTTTCACCCAGCTAGTATTCCTCCGAGGACAGTGTGGTTTTCAAAAGCAGTATTGTCACGATTATGCATATTCTCATTAACTAGGTACAGCAGAGCTACTTAAAGGGAAACCAATTTCTTGTGCCTCAATGAAAGGGGAGTATAGAAAACAATAATTAGACTGAATGAGGAGTTTAAAAGGGCAAAAAAAAAAAAAAAATGGAGTGAAAAGAACAGAGAATTCAGAAAGCAAAAAAAAAAGCAAGTAATGTGACGGTAAAAACCCACACAATCTCCCTCCACCCCACCTGCCACTTTGAATCCTAATTGCTCAACCTGCAAGGGCAGAAACCCACTCTAAATGGACCAGCATCGGGCTTCGGCAAGTCTCCTCTTCACTCTCCCTCCTGTTAAGACCGTTTCCAAAACCAATCAGCAAAGGACAAAGAATTCTTTACAGAGTGCAATTAGTGTTTTCCACGTCCACCTTCAAAAGCATGATGCTCTTCATGGGCTAAAGGACAGAAAAAAACAAAAAAGAAAAAAAGGAAAGAAAACTTTAAGCAAAGGATGGGGCAACCCTCCTCTAAGGCATCTCATTCAGTTTCCCCAAATGTTGGCAAGAACTCAAATACCTTTGTGTGCCAGTAACTGTTAGCTAAGGCGTGCATTTCCTGAGAAACGTAATAATGAAAATTAAAACAAGGAATAAACAAGCAATGGGCATGCTGCCTGTTCCTTCTTGCTGTGCCGGAGAGGATGAGTAATCCCAGCAAGCTGATGAAGAGGATACACTGGGCTGCCAGCAAATTCTGTAGGGAAATGCGCCCCGCAGAATGCAGTGCTGGGGAGGGGCCTCACAGAACCAAGACAGGGCCATTCACAAGCTCATCTTCAAAAATAAAACAAAACAAAAGTAAAACAGAACTGAGAACACCACCAGGAGGACAGCAATTCTCTTAGGTCCTCTCCTACCTTTAAACACCCTCTGTGGGAAATGAAGTTTCATTAAATGGATGGGTCTTTTATTTTTCCCAATCACGTTTTTTTTTTTTTTTTTCTTTCTTTTTTTTTTCCAGCCCTACTGTCTGGCTTGCAAAATGACTAATTAAAATTAGGAACTTCAGAATAAAAAAATGATGCTGTGAAAAATATTTTCCAAAGACTTAAATTTTTATAAAGTGGAGGTGGGAATTGGGAGACCTGTGAAATATAAAATATTTCCTCCAAGGCGAAAGGCCCAGTTTGAAAATCCACTTCCTGGACTTGGTTAAACCATCATCATGAAGCAAGGGCAGATCCTCTTCTCTCAAATGGAAAAGTTACTGACTTGAGGCTGAAAAAGCCAAAGGCCACTCAGGATCCCCCATGCTTTGTCCATCCCCCCTCCCCCCTAGGAAGGATGTCCTAGGAGGGCAGACATGGGCTGGCCCATCTCACCTCCTAAGCCCCTCCTAAGTCTGTATTTTTAAGATGGACTAAATTCTTCAGACTAGTGTGTGGTAGGGGTGAGGCGGGGAACAGGACCATTTGCCCTTTAGGATCATCATGGTTATTCACCCAAACCTGCTCTTCACTTGGATAAAACATTGAGAGAAGCACACTTTGCAGCTCCCGGGGTTACCGCAGGTTGGCCCAATTCCCAAGGGTGGCCAGGACTCCAAGCTGACTTAATTGAACATTTCTCACATGTAGAACTTAATAAATATTTCACTTTGTATGTTTTTTTTTTTCTTTTTAAGAAAGATTTTTAGGACAGACATCAAACAAAACATGGCCTGCTCTTCAATGAAGTGTAGCATTGCTACTGGGTCAAGTGGGGGGTGGGGCACAGACCTCTTAGCGATGCTGGACCCCAAAAGGTAAATCAAGAGAGAGGCGCTGTCCATGGATTTTTATTACTTCTCAGTGGGAGGGACAGTTCGGGGCAGTCATAGTTAAGACGGTGCAATCCTGATGGGTCGTGGAGATGGGAACAGAACATTCAGAATCGGGAGAGTTCTGGGGAACAGGGAAAAGTTCTGTGGGCCTTGGGTTAGCCTTGGTTGAAAGGGAATATAGAAAAGGTCAAAGCCAGGAGTCAGCAAACTTTTTTCTGGAAAGGGGCAGAGGATAAACATCTTAGGCTCTGTGGGTCACAGGGTCTCTGTCTCAACTATTAACCCTACCCTTGTTACGTTAAAGCAGCCACAGATGAGATATACCCAAACAGGCATTGCTAGGTACCAATACGCTTTATATATAAATACTGGAATTTGGATTTCATACAATGTTCATATGTTACAAAACGTAGTTCTTCTTTTGATTTTTTTCCAACCATTGAAAAATGTGAAAGCCATTCTTAGCTGCAGCCCATACAAAAACAGGTGGGAAGGGGGCAGATTTGGCTGGACAGTGTAGTTTGCCAAACTCTGCTCTAAACAATTCTCACATCAGAAGACATTTGTCATTCAGCTGCTCCGAAGAGCCCAACAGAATTTGGCGGGGGGAGGGGGTCTCCATTCATTTAAGTTTCTCAGTCAAGTAACCAAACTGTATCTAACCCACAGATAACTTATCAACAGCCTGACCCTCAGCCACCCGCCTGGAGGCCCTGCCCAAATTCATCAGGGCTCTTTCTATGCGGGGAAAATCTCCCCTGTCACGTGGTTCCTGTAACAAGACTGAGGAAGAGCGTGGAGTTGGCCATTTCTGACCTAGTTCACCCTACCACCCTACCTGTTCTTCACCTACCTACCTAACACCCTACCTGTTCTTCACCTACCTACCTAACACCCTGCCTGTTCTTTATCAAGCTGTGAGTAACATTTCTGCCCAAAACCTCATTTTTCCAAATCAATTCTGCAGCACGTGGTGTATAACCCTACTGAGTAAAGGACTGCCTGCTTTATATAAAATAAAGACAATTGCTTGTTTTTTCCAATTCCAATTTTTATTTGAATAATCTTTGAATTTTTAAATGTCAATTTATGCCCTTAAAATATGCATTTCTACTAAGACCCGCAGCCAATTCTGCCTGACTCACGAACGTCACTGTGGTCTCCACATAAACGTAGACGCCCTAAGGGCGCCTGATCTGGGGAGCTGCAACGTCCCCTCCTCTGTCTGGCTTTTTTCTCCCCCCACCCTCCCCCAACCCCAGCCATCACAACAACGAAGTGATGACTCATCTTTGCTTAGTCTTACCTCATTATTGCCACTGGCCTAAAAACTAGCCTAACCGCTCAGTGGCCCGATTACCTCTGTGGCCTAAACACTCCTATCATGTGTTGAGCCTGCTGCTACCCTACGTGTTAGAATTTTGAAGCAGAAGGGACCTTGGAGATCATTTAAGACCAACCTTCTCAACAGTCAGATGGGGAAGTGGAAGGAGGAGACACCGCGACTTGCTCGAGGTCACAGTGTTGAAGTGGGACAAAAGTCCAGACTGCCTGACTTGACCATTCCAAATCGCTTCTCTACTCTTTGGAGTCAAATGTGGAGAAGGTCCTAAGGAGGTAAAGAACGTGTTCGCCCCGTTCATAAATGGCGGCGAAACATACTTCCTTTTGGAGAGTTTCTGCTGGAGTGAGTCTCGTGGAGTACAAAAAAAAAAGACCCTCGGTGAACTTTCAATGAATATCTGGGCTGAAAATACAATTAATGCTCCCTACGGAGGCAAAACTGCATCTACAAATGTGCAACTTCCGCACGGCACAATCAATAAGCGCCTTCTGCAGTGCCATCCTCTGTCTCTTTTACTGAAACTTTCATTTAAAATTCAGAGGCTAAGCATCTCCTGAGTATCTGCGGCAGCAGATCTGTCCCACTGCTTAAAATCTAAAGCACTGGGCCTGTGACTATATGAGTGCCTAGAGGGAGGCTTAGTCTTCATATCACAGTAAGACAATCACAAAGCAAAATCTGACTTTTTTTCTTCTCCTTTTTGACAAGGGGTTGGGAAAAGTGAAACGGTAATAGAGTGTATTTCACCAATGCTAAGATGCACTCCCCACTCCGCCTCCCCACTGCACATATGAAGACCCCGGAATCAAGAACGTGCCATGGGTCAATTAGGAGCCTTGTATGTTTCTTTCTTAGTAAAATACTAAAATAATACTTATCATCAAGAGCATCTTAGAGTCAATGAAATACCGTGGTTTAAAAAAATTGGGTTACTGACTCTTGGAACAGTCTGGGGAATAGGAAATTCACCATATACGTGTAGGGCTGTCAATGCTTTGCTCTAACTCACTGTTAAAACTGTAACCCGCAGTTTGATCTACCAAACATTGGTTTAATAGCACTAAGCTGTTTTCATTATGAAAAAGATGACTTTTTCAAAAGAGCACACAAAAGCAATGAACATGAATCATGATGGAAACAATGGGTCCACACACCTATTCATACTGTTAACATTTCACCACTATGCGTGCATTCTCTTCTGTGTCACAGTCATCCGTAATGAGGACGTATTAGCATTTCAGTAGAACATTCAATCTTGCCTGTGCGCAGAACGAGTTCCTCCACGGATACAGATGTTATACATTATAAATCCCTGTTTATGAAGGGATGATTGAAAATCTACCTGCCAGCTCATATAATAACTTTTTTTGTTACTGTTGCTTCGAATAGAAGGTAATTTTTTCTGAGAATGACAAGTTTGAGATCAGGTTTGAACTTTTGAAATAAAAACAGTAAGTATCTCCTTTTCTGATCCGTGTGTTTAGGCGACAACTGAAATCTCACTTCAATTTCTGAGGCTACAGTTTTTTTAAAACACCCTTAAAATGTATTTTATTGAATTACTTATTGGATTATAGAATTTCAAGCGATTCTCCCTGCACCTCATTGGCAACACGGTTTCTGTCTTTAAAAGTATGATAGAATAAGCTAGAAAGTAGTAACTGGAAATGAAGCACTTACGTTTATAAAATACGGCTTTAAAAGATATGTGGGGCAGGAGTTCATAGATCTTTTCTAAAACGGTGGCTTCCCCCACTACGGCGGCATTTACATTCCAGACTTGGACGACGTCTTCCCGGTCCCGGACACTGACACTAACTCCTATTACTTCGTCATCTGAGCGGAAGGAAGGGGGAAGAAAGAAATGAGTGATAATTTCAAGTCCGCTGGGAGCCGGTTTTTTAGCACTTATCATTTTATCTGTAAGTTGTAGAGAAGATGATCAAGACAAGGTGGCACGAGAGAACCCGTGATAAATACTGTTTCTAAGGGGGATCGTTGGACAAAAAGCAAGTTAGTGGGCAAAAGCTGCAGCAGTCACATCACATTTATCCGGCGACTTAGGTAAACAGAGTGTTCCGGCCAAACAAATTTTCCAGACAAGTGAGTTACCCTTCTTAACATGTTACCGAAGCTTTGGACTATTTCTTACTCTGTTTTGATGAGACTTTTTCAAGTTGCATAATGATCGGCCCCCCGAAAGCCAACTGAACTCACATGAACTTTTTCCTCGATGCTTGGCTGTCTTTGTGAAGAACAGCAAGTATTTCTCCCGACTTCCCGCCAACCATTCAGAGATCTCGGGGTGGTTAGTGCTCCAGGCCCCAACACTAACTGGACCCAGACTGTGTGTTCCGAGTTGCTCATTCTGCTTCTGCGGTTTTGCTTGTCTGCTCCTTTCCTATTAATCATCCCTGCTCTTGCCTGTTTCTCCCTAGCCATCCCCCTTCTGGTTTGGGCATTTTAACTGTAGGCTAGAGAATCAATGACCATCTGTTAGCTCTGTGTATAAAGTATCTTCTAAGTGTGGCCATGTCCTTAGAGCACTTCGGCAAATGGGCAGGAAAGCATTTATCTACTTTGATTAATGTAGGTCTTTTTTTTTTTTTCTTAACTAAATTCTGGATTGGGGGCTGCTCTGTAGGCATTCGAGAATGGTGGCTGGCTAAGTAGGATTGTGTACTGTCCTCTGGGGCCACTTTGTGTACAGTCATTTGCAGCAAAATGACAGGAGTAAAGACTTGACTCCTGGTATACATGTTTGCAGCATATTACTGAAGTAGGGTCACCCCTCTGCCCTTGCACACTCAGCATCAACGAGTGAAATGTGAAAGATGAGCATTATCAAAGTTAGGAAATTTTGCTTCAGTTAATATGTTTTGCCTAATTTTCCTTATTTACTATAAATCTGTACATCTCAATATTTCTGCTATCAGTTTTCCCGTGTGTCTTCTGGAGGTTAAAACGTTCCAGCATTTAGATACAATTTAAATGAGGACCTGTCCAATTACTAAAGGAGTTCATCTTCAGTAAAATAATTCCTTTCTTTCCTCCATCCTTCCCTTCTCTCCTTCATTCCCTTTTTCCCTCTCTCCCTTCTTTCCTTTGTAAATAAACTTGACTCTGGCTAAATGTGTATGACGTGACACTAAATAATTCCATGTATAGAAGTGTTTGAAAGCAGACAAAATCAGTCGAAGGTGTCAGAAGTTGGGCTTGTGGCCACCTCTGGGGGAAGGGAGGGTGTGGAGAGATTCTGGAGGCCAGTAACATTCTGTTCCTTGATCTGGGTGCCAGTTACAGGGATCTGTTTACTTTGAGAATATTAAGGTACACACATAACAGTTTGTGTCCTTTTCTGTATACATGTCACATTTAAACAAAAATTTCCAAAAGAGTAAACAGTACCTGATCACGGCTACCCACAGAAACTTATTATCCCCTCAAGAAATGTGTCTTATGTACGTGTTTCTTGTTTTCTCATTTATCTTCAAAGTATATTTGCTAGAGCTCAATGTTAAATTCTAGGTGAACAAAAAATCATCAAGTGAAGAGGGAAGCTTTGGCATTCACCACTTTCAAGAACAGTCGTGAAGACACTAGCTCAGCCTTTCAGGAAAAGAGCAGCATTTTCCAGTCTTTTTGTTTTGCCCATTTCTACACTATTGGGCAGAGGGTACTGTAGCTTTACGGGTGCTGAAAATGCTGAACTGTCAATATTTCAGTCTCGTCTGGCTTTTGGTTCCTACGTGTAACCTCCTAGCACAGCACTTTCAGAAAGGGCATGGTAAAAAGGCTGCGGCCCGTATGCAAAAGGAGATCCATCAGCAAACATGTAATATTCATAAGCAGAATCAACCGGCAAAAACGCTGATGATTTTAGGGTACTGGCAGCACAAGACGTCAGAGCTAGGAGGAGCCACTGTTTGAAGATGGGGGAAGTGAGGACCAGAGAGATGAGCTGACCTGCTGTAGTGGTGGAGCTGGGTTAATTAAGAGCGAACAGTTAATACTTAATGGTGCTCTCGTTCCAAAGTCAAGCACGGAACAATAGGTCGTCTTTGCTCAATCCTGCCTATTTATTATTACTTAGACTATTTTCCCTGGTTCTGGAAACAGGAATAATTCATACAGAAAACTTCCTCTCCCGGGGATTTACTTGTTTATAATTATACCGAAGATGCATTTTTGACTACATATTGTAAAGTTGCTACCTACCCCCTATTTAAACGGAAGGGATCTGTACTTTTAAGATAATTTCATCTTAACCCAGGTTCTGTCTTCAGTGAATAAAAAGACGTGTAAGAATTAAGGAAAACAAAAGGAGAATGACTGAAACTGTTAGTGAGGTAAATCTGAAACCTGCTTGGCACCGGCTAGGCCTATAAGGGTTCCCAAAGACAGAACCAGTTAAGACGCCTGAGGGCAAATCAGTCAATACCAAAGAGTTAAAAAAAAATGAAAGCTGAACAGGAAAAATGTGATTCTAAATGTTACCTCAGAAGCATTCAGAAGGAACTACCCAAGAAGAAAAAACAAAACTTTAAACGAGCAATTCAATTTTCCTCTCTCAGTGGTTTCACGACAAAAACAAAGCAAAATAAAAATGGGCTAAGGGATTAACAGGTACCAACTATTAGGTATAAAATAAGCTACGGGGATGTGTCGCGCAGCCTGGGGAACAGAGTCAATATTTCGTAATGACTACAGATGGAGTGTAATCTTTGAAAATTGTGACTCTTTATGTTGTGTACCTGTAACGTATGGGTTTTGTACATCAGCTATACTTTAATTAAACAAACAAACAAAAAAAGCAAAATAAAAATGTATTCACAGGGCTCTCAGAAACGCACTCAGTATTTGAAAACTGAGTGAGTCTTCAAGTAAAGTCTTCAAAGTCAAGTCCTGAAGACTTTACATTTCAGCCCCAGTTGTCAGATCACAGACGCTAATGGTGATTCATCCCCACCTCCCCTTTATCTCTCACTCTGAGTAGAAGGGACCAAGAGAGGGACAGGAGGAAGGGGCGAGTAACTGAGAGGGGCAGAAAGGACTGTGCCGACCTAACTACAAACTTCAGGTGACAACTAAGCCACTGGGCTCTTCTGGAAGAACTGGAACTGGTGAAGGAAGCCCACCACCAGCGGTGTTAGGAGCCCAATGTCAAATTTCATTTTCTTCTGGAACATATATAAGGCTGCATGTCAATTACCCTTCAATTAAAAAAAAACAGTTTTCCTTTTTTTCTGCCTATTTATTTTAGACAGATGGTCACGGACACTATGAAGATGAGCTATAAGTGCAAAAAAATATATAGGCGTATACACATATGTATATCCACGTAATATACACATATGTAAGTATACATATGCACATACACATGTAACATGAAAACGCCACGAGCACATGGGAAAAAGCTAAGTAACTTCGTAGTTACAAAAGAAGCAACTCCAAAATATGTAAAAAAGGCAAACACACAGAAACAAGGCTCAGCAAGGAACAAGCAGAAGCCAAGCACGCGCGAGCGGGGACGCCAGAGCTGAGGGTCTCATTACCTGCGACGGCACAGTCTGTGAACTGTTCCCCGATAGTCGCTAACAACAACTCTTTCCAGACTGTGGACTGGTGTGGGAAAAGAACAAAAAGCAAAGCAAAAGAAAACCAAAGAAAAGGAACACATATACATTTTTAAACAATTATCTTCAGGAGCTACCCAAGTCACAGTTTCTTTAACCTCTCACGCCCTTTCCACGCCCGTATCTGGAGCCTGCAGGCATCGCTGAATCACAGGCGTAAACACCCACGTGGTGGCACATGTTTGTACTGTTTTACACATCGCTTTGCACAGAGAGATACAAGGGATCCCAAGTCACAAACTCTGTGTCCACAAAACTGTGGGGTCCGAAGCTACAGAGCTAATCTCTAGTGCCACCTCTGATGAAGTTGAGAGCAACGTGGGGAAAATGCACTCAAACGACCTACACTTTTCCAATTTCTTTGCCTCTCACTGATTCAAAATGTATCAGCTGGTTATAAGTGAATGCTATTAGGACCATCCTTCTCTTCAAAACCCTTTCCTGCTTTTCCAGCAGTTTATAAGGTACTTCCAAGGTTACACAAGTGAAGAACACTTAAGGAAATTTCTGGTTTACTGACTACCAGAGACTTGCAGATCTCCATTCACTTGAAGGCATTTTGTTTCTGCTAAGTGACTGAACTGTGGTGTGTGTGCGTGTGCGTGTGCGCGCACATGTGCATTTCCCTGGAAGAATCAGTGCACGCTCTAGTCCGCCTCTTCCCTATGAGAAAACCTGGAGCCTCTTCTGCTGAAGACCCCCTAATGCCATCCAATCAGCAGCCAGCATCCACGCACAGGTAACTGGAGGTCTCCAAGTTCTTTCCAGTTCCTCTTCCTCGAAAAGTTCTTGGTTCCGTACCTCTTCCTTGTCTTGGTTCACAGGCCCTGAACTCCACCAGAACCGGGTTTGATTCCTGACAGCCGGCTTAGAGCTGTACCCTGGGCAGGCTTATTAGCCTCTCTGAGCAATAGTTTCCTTCAGTGAACAGGGAATAATAATAGGACCGACCTCCCAGGGCTGTTGTGACCATGAAATTAGTCAACAAATGTTGCGTTCGACGGGCTCAGTACTGTGATTGCAACAACAGCACTGGAGATTTAAGATCCATTCCATAAACAGCTGCGTGTTTGCTCTGGACCAGGCGTCCACTAATGTATTAACTATAATGAGAGTATGTATTATCATGTTCTAATGAGCTGAAAGCAGCCTCACTGAATTTTTAACCAAGACCACAGCAGTCAACCATCATGGCTTTTCACTCTCAAGGAGGGTTTTCTTTTCTCTTTCCTAGACCCTCCGTCTGGTCTACCCGTCTCCCACCTAGAAACCATCGCTTCTGTTTTTTATCTGTCTCATCTGCAGTCTCTTACGCTATTAGGAACAAAGATGAGGGTGTTGAGAGGAAGTCAGGGGAAGGGGATGCTCCCTCTCCTGTTGTGAATTCAGAGGAGGCTGACCCACCGGATTCCCACCGGTCAGCAACGAAGAGAGGGCTGAGCTGCTTGGGATGAGGACACTTGTGCAGATGTGGAAGCGTTATTATTTGCGACTGAATGTGGTCAAGTGAGCTGACAAGGAGGGAGGACAAACTTGTCTTTCAGCTACCTTTCATCCAACGCTGACGTCATGATTGTTTCTACCAGAAGTCAATGTCTACTGCAAGTAAATACAGAACATGGCAAGGAAAAGGTGTCCTTATGGAAATTCAAAACAACTTTCTCTCCTTTCAGGGGGGCAGGAAGAGCTTCACAGGCCTTGCTTGTTTTTTTGTTTGCTCCCCTGACGTTTTAAAAATTATAGATGCCAAATACTAGCCAAATCTCGTAGCTACGCATCTTAACGATAGTTTGCACCTTTAACAAACAAATTGGGTCATATCTTTCGGTGTGTGCTCATCGGGAAACAATGCAAGGTCAAGCCTATGGGTCCCTGGAGATGTTTCAATCCTTTGAGCTCGTCCACGTGAAAGAAACCATGAAAAGGTGAGACTGGGGAGCATGTGTCCTTTCATCCATTTTCGAAGGCGGCTTAAGAATAGATTTGAATGCTCTTTTCAGTCGGTACAATGAATTAGAGCCCACTCCCGGGAAACCCAGGTTTCTGAGGCTTGACCACTGCCAACCAACGGCCGAGCAGGCTGTGCTGCCATTAACCAGGGTTTCATCAGCCCCAGAGGGAGACTGGACACGGCCTCGCATGAAACCCCAAAGGGCGGTGAGATGCAAGGCCTCCCACACGTTCCCACTCTCTGTGCCAGGGTCATTCTCAGAAGTGCTTGTCGCCCCAGTGGGGAAGCGACGAGCCTTTGCTGGGAAGGATCCTGCTTCTCACTACGTAGACCCACTTCCACATGTCGGTCATGGCTGTGGAGGACATGACAGCCCTAATCAGCTTTTCTGTAAAGTTTATAGGCATGTAGCTGTTCAGAACTATATGATACAGTCACACTCTTACACCATTTCTACAGAGACTCACAATGCATTTTCAAGGTGACAGTGTGAGGCAGAAAACCCCCAAGGTCAGAATAGAACTTCTCACCCCCAGTCCCATTCTGAGTCTACCAGGCGGACTGTCTAGAACGCACAAGAGGTTCATCATAAGCTGTCAACAACCCCGAACTTAGCTTCTAGAAAAGGATGAGAGCGAACCTACCGTGCTGTCCTTGGGAACTTTCATCTTCCATACGCCACCCTTTGCATTACTCTCCTCTTCCCTGGATCAAAGACCAATGTTCACAGTTACACTCATGGATTAAGTAGCTCTACATACATCTAGTTCAACAATGGATGACATTAAAAACAATAAACAATGGAGCATTCTGCAATAAACTCTCCCCGGTTCGTTTTACTAGAAACAGAAGCAGATGAAAGAAAAAGGAAGGGGATGGAGATGGGGAGGGAAGAAGGTGGGATTCAGTGGCCAAAAGGGTAGGGAAGGTGATGGGATACCAGGTTCTCATCCTCAAGGAGCTGGTGAGGAGAGGTTCCCTAGACCCCCTGGGGTGGACAAACTAATACAAGTGCTTCACATGTGAGAAGGCCTTTACATTTCAATGTCATGCTCTTGACATCGCCTCACCTGATTCGCATTTCAGTCTTGTGTCATAAGCCTAATAGGGGACTCAGCCCCGGTAGAGGACATCTGCTGTCTCCCTGTGCAGTAACTGCTCCCTCTTCTGGCAAGAGCACCCCAATTTCCCTTTAAGGAGCTACTTGTCCCCTACTCTTATGCCAGACCCTTTCTGATATGGCTGATTCCATATCCTAGCTTTAAAGGTGGGCTTATGACCCAGACACTTAGACTTCGTAGTCTTTATGATTGGCCAGGGATGGAAAGGCAACCCACGCTGGGCCGATGAGAGCCTGCCCTGGCATGTTACTGGAGCTGGTGAATGCCGACACTGACAAACTTGTAGGGCTTAAGACTGGAGCTTATAAAAGCCATTTTGTCACAAATGGGAAAACCTGCCTGAAAATTAAGCCAAGGCAGAGAAAAGCAAAGCAAGTCTGACGGAGAGTGTCAGATCCTAAGAAGAATTGAGCACCCAGATCTGCCTGAAATCAGCCCTACCGGTAGACTGTTTAGTTACAGAAGCCAAAAGATTCCTTTTTGTTGTTTTTTTTTTGGCTCAGTTTACGTTTCTGCCATTTGCTACCAAAGAGCTAAGATATATTCCCATTTTATTAATGAGTAAATGGCTTAGATCAGTTGAGGGACATGATGCAAGGATTTACTACTAGTTGGGACTCCAGCCTAGGCAAACTGGCTTACTGTCCTCCACCCTCAACACTACTCCAGCTATTAAAGAAGAAAGACACCTTCCCCTCGACCCTGGGCCGTGATCAGTATCATACACTTTCTATGTGGTCCACATGAGGTACGTCTGAGGTTATATGATCTTTGTTCATATAATAGATGTGGGTACCACATCTGTTCCCTCATCTCCCCTCCAGCCTATAAGCTTTTTCACTCCACTGTCCAGGTCATTATTGAACAAGTGAAAGAACAAACCCAAATGATGCCACACCCCGATACAAAGACCTGCACGGCACCTTCAGCGAGCTAATGAGGACCTATGTATTGTGAGACTGCAATGGGGTCCTCTGTGGGCGGATGCTGAGACACCTGCTCATCACTCTGGAGCACAAGGGGAAAGGGGTCGAGGGAAGGGGTCTATTTCAAAATTAAATCATGGCTAAAATGACTTTGCGACACCACCAGGAGAAAATTACTTTGGCATTCCAATTTGGCATGAAGTTATTTTATTAAGTTCACAACCATTTCCCTCCCACCTTAACCTCAAACTATACAGAAGACACTTACCAAAGTGGCCGCCTCTCTCCTCTCATTAAATGATAACTACATCTCAAAGGCAGGCTAGTCACAGGAGGAATATTATTGTACACACTCCAGAATATCTTTAAAAGAAAAACACTTTGTTTAATACACCCAGTACTGACTTACTGTGCTTATAAAATTAATGCATTAAGGCTTATAAAATTCATGCATTAAAGAAAAAAAAAATCAGATCTCATTAAGTCCTACCCATTCAAATTAGATTTTTCTTAGTATTCTTCCTAATTTTCTGCTAGAAAATGTAACATAACATTAAAGAATGTTCTTTTCTGAAGTCAGGCTAAGTTGTATGCTTCAGGAAGCTATGGTTTAGCAAACATTCCTATGCAATGTGTCTCCACATAAAACAGGGTAAGGATCTTGCTAATGATTTTTCTGACAGGTATATGGCATCTAATAAAAGCCTGTAGTGCTGAATACGTGTACTGAACCATATTTCCTCATGACACTGACTCTGTTTTCTTTCTAAGCCTAGAAAGAATCTGTTACACTTTGGATTGGGGGATGGGGTATAGAGGAGGCAAAGAGGAATCACCTCATGTGCTCTGTCCCCCTTCCTTTCCTCTCCCAGGAGGAAAAGGAAATAGCTCAGCTGCCAAAGCCACAAGTTGCCCAAGATGCACAGTGTTAGGAATTCCATGATTGTGTGTTCTCCAAACTCATATAGTGAAACCCAAGCCCCCAATAGGATGGAATTAGGAGGTGGGGTCTTCGGGCATAATTAGGCCATAAGGATGGAACCCCCCCGCCCAGTGATGGGATTAGTGTCCCAATAAGAAAAGGAAGAGAGTTAGCCCTCTCTGTCCACCATGTGTGGATATAATGAGAAGACGCCTATCTGCCTATAAGCCCAGGAAGACTGCCTTCACCAGGACTTGACCATTCTGGCACCCCTGATCTTGAACTTGCAGCCTGCAGAACTGTGAGACATCAATGTTTGTTGCTGAAGCCACCCAGTCTATGGTATTCTGTTACAACAGCTGGAACTAAGACACAGGGTGGCTGGTAGTCAGAAACAGATTACATAAAAATAGTAGAGTAATAGTAACAATGAGAGTAACAGCAGCAACAGTAATAGGGCCAGGATTTGGTCTCTGACTTTTTTTTTTTTTTTGTGGTACGCGGGCCTCTCACTGTTGTGACCTCTCCCGTTGCAGAGCACAGGCTCCGGACGCGCAGACTCAGCAGCCGTGGCTCACGGGCCCAGCCGCTCCGCGGCATGTGGGATCTTCCCAGACCGGGGCACGAACCCGCGTCCCCTGCATCGGCAGGCGGACTCTCAACCATCGCGCCACCAGGGAAGCCCTGGTCTCTGACTTTTACATGTTTATGTAATTTATCTTAATGACAACCTAACTAAGAGGTACAATTATTATTCTTGTTTTATAGATAAGGAAACTGAGGCACACAGACTAATCCTCCCAAGCATCACTGTGTGCTATGACCACGAGGATTAGGACAAGAAGTGAGTTTTTACAAAGAAGAAAACCCTTCCCAGCTTGTTTGGAACGGTACCAGGAATCTCTACGCTACCAACTCTATGCACAGAATTACTATACAAATGAAAAATATCACTCTGTGTGGTGAAGTAAGTCAAGGGTGGTTGTCTGGGTCTCCTAGTAGATCTGAGGAGAACAGAACAAGCAATAGGACAATTAGAAACATGAATCCAAGGGCATCATGAACAGAGCGGCATAGGTGGAATGAAATTTTATCGATGTCGAATGAGAATCCTTATGGGTTGTTTGAGCCCACGTTGCATAAAAACTGGAGCCAAATTAACTGCAAGGCCAGCAACAGCAATAAGATGAAACTGAAGGCAGAAAAAAAACCAAAAACCACCTGACAATAGATTTATTAAGAATACCTTATAAGAACCTGCCACATAGTACGGGGAACTCTACTCAATACTCTGTAATGGCCTACACGGGAAAAGAATCTTAAAAAAAAAAAAGTGGATATAAAAAACAAAAGTGGATATATGTATAACTGATTCACTTTGCTGTACACCTGAAACTAACACTTTGTAAATCAACTATACTCCAATAAAAGTTATTTAAAAAAAGGATATGAGGAGAAAAAAATTTTTTAAATGCTAGAAAAAAAAAATAAACAAACAAAAAGAATACCTGGGGTCCCTTATACTAAAACGGTGCTAATGTCGGAAGTAACTGAAAATAGCTCTGTAGTAACAGTAGATGCTCAGACATCTGTCTTTGTGGAGATACCCGCCTTATAAATGGTTTGCTATCAGTGCAAATAATAAGATTACTCCAATATTTCAGTTATAGCCTGTGGCATGGGTGTGAATAGGCAGAGTTGGAATCTGAGGCCAGGCAGTTGGATTCCAAACCCTGTACCCTTAACCACTAAGCTATTTCCTCTGCAGATATTACTACATATTTTAGGCACATCTTTCTCTAGTCCTAGAAGCCATGGACCAGGTCACGAGGTCATGGACGAGGTCACAGAGTGAGGGGCATCTGTTGAAGATGTTTTCCCACCAGCACGTGCCCTTCATCACACTGACTATGCCACTGCCTTAGCTCTAGCCTAGGACTTCTGCAATGATGTGGCAATGACCTGTGCAGAATTTATGGACACACTTATGCTAGAATATACATCCCTGCTTCCACCAAGAGGACTTTGATGCCAGCAAACTTCAAGTCTCCTAAAAGGCCAGAGCACCTGCCCTCACACCCTTGCCAAAGTTCTCAAATCCTAACTTTTCACCCAGTGCTTGAAGCACCTTGGAAAACACAACAAAATGCTTCTCCCGTTCCAAAGGTGAGAACATCACACTAAGGATCGTGCTACAGTGTGTAGCTTTAGAAGCTTCTCTTGAAAACAGACAACTGATTTTGTTAGTCTTGGCAAATGGAGAGGAGGAGATTACAGCCCAAGAAGATACAGTGAGAGACTTCACCCTGACCTAATGTACTCATTCAAGTGCATATCTGCATGTTTCTGCATGAACACAAAATGAGAGTGAAATACGCGGTGACCTCATGGAAAAGACCCCATTAAAGTCCGTGGCACTAAGTTGGTCTGTTTCCATATTGCAAACCTCACGCAGTGTGTAGAATACTCGTCAAGCATGTATGATGGCAAAAGAGCTGAAGGAAGGAACCCGGCATCACACAGCTCCTTAGACCTTCTTCCTCCCCTGAGGAAGCGAAAGTGCTGTTTCACTGGAAACTTGATAATTCTTGGTCATATTCTCTGTAACATACTTTTATGTTTGTTAAATCATCTAAATTCTACTACAGATAGAACCTTGCAAATAGATTTCAAAAGCCCTTAGACTTATAATTAATTCTAAGTGGTCTGCAAACAGCAGATTGCTGTAAAGCTAAGCACAATGTTTATTAATAATAATGAAGTGTTTTTTTCAAAAGCCTTAACGACAACCCGAGCAGAGGGAGGGAAGTCAGACATCACTTATTCAGTCAACATGTGTGGACACCAAGGAGGGCAGGGCGCTGTGGTGAGTCCCAGGTTGCTTAGATTCACTAGACAATGCTGTCCACTTAACAAATCCCCAACCTACTAGTCCTGACTGAAGCAATTATGCTCCTCCCAACAGTCCTCTGCCAAATAGATAATCAATCATTACCAGGAAAACTGGCAAATTTCCTCATTTTTTACTAAATGCTTTGAAGGAAAAAAAAAAAAGAGAATATACTTGAAAATACTTGAGAAGAAAAGATGCCATGTGGTGACAGACAACATGGTGTTAAAAAAAAAAAGAAAAAAGAAAGAAAGAAAGAAAAGAAAAACATGCAGCAAATACACCTCCAAAAAACCCAACAAATCCAGCATTTCTTCCGCAGGTCACAGCATATAAATCTTTGAAAGTATTTCTGAAATTTTAAACAAACATTTTCATTCCTTAGGTATTTCTAATTGGCTGGGGCTTGCATCCCACCAAGTAAATCAATGGTTTATGGGAAGGGCAGAGCCCAGAAGAAAGGCAACTGAAGAGCTTAATGGATGTTTTTAAATTCACAGCAGATACAACAGGCTGAAAGCAAAGTGTTTCTGACCTGGGAGAGCCAGGTAGTGGAGAGAGAAATGGGTTTTGCTTTGCATTCCAAAGGTCTTAAAGTGAGAACCAAAGTTTGGAGGACTGATAGGGGAGTGGGCAATTTCTCACCACGCAGTTAAGTCAATGAATGAAAAACAAAGTCTGAGTCAGGGAGCTAAGTGGGGTTCACGCATTGAGAGAAGAGGAGAAAAGCTGGGGGAAACAGCAGAGCAGTGTGTATTCGGCTTCCTGGGTAAGGCCCATAGGTATGTGTTTATTGATGTTAATATTTTTCAGTGCACAGGGCTTTCACTTTGGTGAAAACCCAAAGACGTGATTGGACTCAGAAGCTTATACACCATTTTAACAAAGGATGATAAATTGTGGAGAGTGACCAGACAAAGGAAAGGGGGTCTGGGGCCCCTAGAGGTGGTATATGGTGTGACTGTGCTGAGGAAATACAGCTTAGTATTTGCTTAGTAGGTTTGTTATGCAGACTCAAGGGGTAAGAAAAAGGGATTCCTTTACAAATGTAAATTTATGTCACCTTTAAAAGGGTAATTTATGCCCTGACTTCAGGCAGATAGAGGAGGTCAGAGAGCTCCTCCTGGCTCTGCTGTTTTTCAACTGCCTTCAGTTCAAAGTAATTCTTAAGCTCAAGTGCCGTTTTTGGGGTGGCATATTCTGATCCCCCTTGAGAGACCAAGTTTTACATCTGAAGTGACTGAATCACTTTCACTTTACAAGATTTAATCTCCCACCCCACCTGCACAGCGGCTTCCACTGCCAACATGCCAGCAGACAGGATCCAGGTACTTGGACTTCAGTTCGGTTTCTGCACAACTGGGCTGTGACTATAATGATGATCCCATCACGTACCCCATGAATAAATTAAATGACAGCTACATAATCCTGTTATTCTCGATACTAACCTTCACTAAACAGAACTATGAAGTAGACCTGCCTGCAGGGCTTTCCCTCTCTTTTTTCAGGAGGGAGTTTCTCTCTTTCTTCCCTCGACCCTGTCCCTTCACCCAAATGGTTCACTGCAGGTCATTCTACTGCAGGATGCCACCCACCGTGGGCTGCCCTGCTGTGTTCAGGGCAGTGACAACTTTGAATCAATCTTTCTATCATTCTCCATTATCGGTCCTGACCTATAAAACCTCTCCTCCCAAAAGGGACAGCCCTCCTTTCCCAATGATTTGCAAAGCAATCTGCTGCCCTACCTTAATGACCTGCAAGAGCACAGGAGCTCCACAACCTTCTGATAAGGGATGATGCCTTGATATCACCGGCCATACACAAGTATAGAAGGAAGATTCTCTTCATTTTAAGAGATTGTATCTCTATTTCTCTGAAGACCTTCTGTTTATGATAAATGATGCTGGATATCCATTTACAGAAGAAATATGAAGCTTCTGTTTTCCATAAGTTTAAGTAAAAAGTCGGTCAATTTATGGGACCACTGCATAGGACATAGAACAACAGGACAGTGTGGCAAAACCTTGAACGTGATACCTGAGGTGGGTTAGAATGCTACACAGGAATGAGTTTTCAGGGCTGGAATTTTGGTCTTGTGGGAGCAAGGGAGGATCCCCTGTAAATCGTTACCTGGCCGGTAACTCCCTTCTGCCACAGGTAAAATCAGGCTTGGTCAGAAGCTGTGTTCTATTCCGCGCTGCATGCATTTAGGACATAAAAACACAGAAGAAATGTGGAAAACTTTGAAATGTTTACAAAAGAGTAAAAGGAATCAGTAAGTGCCTGGAAAACACATCTAGATGAAACATGGAATTTTCCAAGAAAGGCAGGTAAGTAGGGAACAAATTTAACTCCAACCAGAGGGCATTACTGGTGGCTGTGATGAGACTGTCCTCAGCAGGGGTCAGTGGGCTGGCTGGAGACACAGGCCTCCCTCACTCCTCAGTCAGGGTGGACCAAAAGCAAGAGGATGGACCTAGAAAAGGAGGGAGTTCCGGTCCCAGAGCACAGAGCGATTGGCTGTTTCTGCCACTTTTCGGGCCACTTACCTCCCAGCCTCAGCCCCTCCAGCTAATAAATGGGGATAACAATTCCTCTGCCACCCCCATCAGCATCTCTGATTTGCTGAGGGCCTCAAAGTACAAAAAGACATATTATTCAATATGTCCTTATGGAAAACAATCATTAGTACCACATGATAACTACACTGCATCTAAACACAGATGAGGGAAAAACAGACACGATTAGGGACGTAATTTTTTAGTGCTGACGGAGAGAGAGTTCAAGAATCCACATATAGCCACGAAATGAAAAGACAGTGGGGCAAAGGCATATCCTCAAATGACTTTAAAATCAGCAGCCAGGCTAGTTCTCAAATACTAAGGACTATTCACAGGTATTAAGGACACAGCCTGAAATCCCCAAACTCATCGACAAGTTAAATACATTTTCATAAGTAGAGGTATTCACAGTGGTATAATCTGGGGAATAACTGCTTGAAATAAATCATCTAGAAGTAGTGGTACACAGTTTTGTGATTTAAAACATGATTGAGGAATGTACAAGAAGATGTTCCAGTAGAAGTAGGCAAGTAACGGCAGACGCATTCATTATTATTCTCCAGCACTTACTGGGTGCTTTTTACGTCCTTGTGCCATTTCACTCTCACAACCTCACGATGCAGTTGGTATCACAATTACTCCCATCTTAGAGATGAGCAAACAGATACAGAGAAGTTAAGCACCTTGCCTGAGCTACTAAGTAGCAGATGTGAGACATCAATCCAGGCAGTGTGACCACCCTACACCCAGGCCCACATCCTCCCCAGTCAACCGATGAAGCTGAAGTGTGGAATGCAACCTTCTGTAAAAGCTGCCAACAGCTGAGGGCTTACTAAGTGCCAAGCACTACTAAGAACTATGCGATCTCATTTAACCCTCGCTCAACCCTAGGGAGGAGGAACTGCTACTATCTGTTTTACAGATGAAGAAACGGAGGAGGACAGACTCATCGGAGATACGACAGAACTTCCTGACCCCTTGGGGCAGTGTTTCATTATCACCCCCCTATTTTGAAGGAGCCCTTTTCCTACTCACTTTCTTGTGAAACTTTAATACCACCAAGAGACTGTATATCTATTTACGTACCGTATGCCTATCTGTGCTTTCTACAAAAAAACAGCATGTTTTTTTTGGCCACACCAAGAATCAATTTTTGCCGCCATTGAGAATGTGTGGTTACAGCTTAACAGATCATTATGTGAGCAGTCTGCTGTGACAGAAAAGTGGTTCATTTATTAGTTTCTCATTCATGCATTTGATCCTTCAGTATTTATGGAGTGAAAGGAACCAGGCACAATACAGTACTCCACTTATATGAGGTTCAATAAAAGACAAAGCCAATGCATGGTGACAGAAATGTGAATAGTGGTTGCTTCCGGTAAAGGACTGGTAGGAAAAGGGCATGAAGAAAACCTTCCTGACAGGATGGAATTTTAAAATCTTGATCGGGTGATAATTACACATTTGTGTATCTTTGTCAAAATTTATCAAACTTCTACACTTAAGAGACCTGTGTTTACTGAAAAAATTATATCCCAATGAAGTTTTGAAGAAGGTATTTCCTAGTATGTGCCGGCCTGGGTACTTTAAATTGGTCCCTGAAGACCCTATGTCACTTGCTGCCAGATACCAAGGCTCAACCAATGCTCTGTTGTCATCACACAGGGGCAGGGAAACAAACCAATCCCTCGGTGTAACTTTACCAACGTCTTCCTGGAAACCCAGGCACAGTTGTGATGTGGATCCAATGTCACAATAGCATGGGAAAAGTCTAATGAGGACCTCAAAAAAAAAAAAAAAAAAATCAGTGGGCTCTAAGAACTTCTACACGAGGACAGGCTTTAGAATCAAGCGCTCTGAGGTTTACACAGCGGTGCTGGGAAGAGGTAACAAGGTCCATAATGTCACCACGGGGAGAAGTGAAGGGGACCCATTCCTGGACTCTGAGAGCATCTGTCCCTCTGGACGGTGGCCCACGTGCTGTCTTGTGACACTGCTTGTACTTGGCACCGAATGCTTATTTACAACAGCACTGTTATTCTGCTCTCCACATGCTTAGGTCATTTTCTCAAATAGTTCAGAGACAGCCTGTGGTAGGGACCGCGTCTTTACACCCGGCTTAGGGCCCTATGTGGCCACACGAGGCACTTTACAATCAGATTCCTGGGGCTGCATAACCATGAGTACTAAATTTCCTGAACCAGATACTGGGAGAAGTGTCTGAAAAAAGATCTCTGCACAACTCCTGTGCAAGTGAGAGGCTGCCGAAGAGACACCGATCTGTTGGAATTTCTAACACATTAAAAGACTTAAGGGCAGAACACACAATTTAAAACTGGCCCTTCTGGAAAATTCAGGACACATAGTCAATGCAAGTATGAAGCAGCCTTAACAGGCTTATCGAGTGTACAACAATGGAGGGGAAGAAACTTGATAGAATTTGCTTTGGAAGAAAACAGTAATGTGATCAACTAAATAAACCAGGTTTTTTTTGTTTGTTTGTTTTGTTTTTCTAACGTTCATCCTAAGAGCTGTGTAGAGAAAGAACTAAGAGATCTAAGAGCTTACATTTGCTGACAACCTACCATGTATCAGGTCTCCTGCTAAGCCTGATAAACACATCATCTCGTTCGGTCCTCAGACCCACCCATGGAGGCAGGTGCTACCATCACACCAGTCTTACACAAATTAAAGGGCTGATCCCTGCCCAGTTTAGGATGATAGAATTTGAACGTGGAGCAGGACATGGGTCCGAGACCTTCCACTTTCAGGCTCAACACTACCCTGCCCTGTGACTTTCAGTAAGCTTGCAGGTGGTACCAGGGCCTCTCACCGATGGCAAACAGAGCCCAGAGAGGGAGCGGCCAAGCTGGTGCGTAAATGAGGACACACAGTGATATCGTCAAAACCACACCAGAGTCACGAGGGTCTGGGAGACGATGAGGTTCCACACGTCACCAAGAGAAGAGCAGGCCACTCGGGCATGTGCTCAGCTGGCCTTTGGGGTAGATGTGGCTGAGGGCTGCTCTGCCAGAGTGGGCACGTGAGCTGAGGTCAGAGCACAGCCCCGGGTGGGCGCTGCCAGCACAGCACAGGTCTCAGGTTGGATGATTAACTGTCCCACGAACAGCAGGTTTCTTGATCTTACCTGTACCGTTTGTACTGTGTAGATTTTCTTCAGATTTGACGCGCACTCAGCTGCTGTGGCACCAGGGAGGGATCTAAGCAAACAGAAGCAAAAGAGCAAAGAAACAAGGAAAATGTTTCAGTGTTCGTGAAACGTTCCACAGTGTAATGTAAGTGTGCAGGTCTGCACACAAGTCAGGTCTGAAACCACAGAAGCGGACACTTCTGGGATGCTAGTTAGAATTTAAAATGGGAAACTCCTACTTTGTCAAGTCAGGTGCTCGCGTCTCCTAAAAATAAGCATATTTATCCTGTGGAAGTTTAACAGGAAAACTGGAAATGTAAGAAAGACATTGGAAACCTTAAAATCACATTTTAAAAAATACACAACTAACCAGGGGATAATCAAGCCTTTTGGGCCTAGGACCCTGGATAGGAAACTGGGCCTGTTGTATAGATGACAATGACAATGCAGGGTCCTGACCTGGTTATATGTTTGAAAAATTTGTTACTTCCTTGGTGGTAAATATTCAAGAACTCTTGGGTGACCTTTTGCCAACTTTAAGAAAACATGATTACTAAAAGTCACCCTTCGCCTCACTTGAATTTGCACGTGTTTCCAAATCACCTGCCTTTAGAAAATACTTTCAGTTATTTTCTCGGGCTGATTTAATTAGTTCTGCTGAACTCTGCGGTCAGAGTACATTAATCTTTAGTTTGCCATATGTTCCACTAGATGGCAACATACTACCAGCTCATTCACCAGTAGAGCCATCCACTGAGAATGGCTTCACCCAGCACCATGTCCTGGGTTTGGGGGTAACAGGACGTGGTGCTTTCAATCTGCAGAAGTGAGGCCTCCCCATCCTTGCTACCTTTCCTTTCTCCCTATACTGAATTAGCAGGTCTTGCTCAGGAATGTTGGGGTCCAGCGACATCAGGCCTCAGGTTGAAAAACTCAAGTAATGCTTGACAGCCCCACGTCTGGCTGTAAGAACTAAGAGGCTGGCGGTGAGCGGCAAGCTCACAGCTGACCCATCAGGGTCCGGAATCTGTAAAAGGAATGCTCTCTACCAGCCACTGACCCTCCGAGACACAGTCCCCAGGGGACCTCAAGATGGTGAACTTCCTGGCAAGAGATGTGCACAAAACTGAGCCAGCTCAGAGGTGGAGGGGATGGCAGAGCAGAGAGGGCTAGGCCCAGGTGTGGGGCAAGCATCAGACACCAGGGGCAGAGCTCTGCAGACTACAGTCCCGGCATTATGGACCTGGGTGTTGAACCTGCTATAAAAAACCCATTTCTGAACACCGCTCCCTAGCCTGGAGGTCACAAGGAAGCATAATTACGGACTAGTGTGGAGGCAAACAAGCAGGTGGAGTCTGATAAATCAATCTTCCCCAAAGCACCAGGTTTATTATGAGTGTGCCGGACGTTGCCTGACAAACGCAAACCCACAATAACCACCAGGACCGCATTCTGCCGCCAGACCCGAAGCCTCAAGTAGCTACGTTGCAGAACGTGATGAAGAGCGAGGCGCTGGGTCAGCACCTGCGACGGTGGCGTCTGACCCACGATGCATCCGTCGCTCTCTCTGGACTGCCCCGGGAACTACAGTATTGACTTACATAAATACTAATTTGCTATTTGATACAGGTTTTATGCTGTCTGGGGGCTTTAAATTACAAAAGGATTGGGGAAAAAAACGAAACAAAAAAACCCCAAACCTTAACCTTTTCTGAGTAGGTTTTCACATGAACAGTCTATTGCCTTTATATGAAAATCTACTGGCATTTATTCTAATACCGACTTTTCTTCCTTTGAAGAGTTTAGCTGACTCTCCACCAAATATGCCCAGAAGATATACCCCTGGCTGCCCAAAGCATATAGCAGAATATAGACAGGGTTCTTTCCCTAATGGGGTTGGGGGACAGGGTGGTATAAGGATCCAAAGGTAGGAAATGTCCGTTGCACTTTTTCATTTTTAAAACCGTGTATTTTGAATTTTTACTAATTGTTTTTTTTGCGGTATGCGGGCCTCTCACTGTTGTGGCCTCTCCCGTTGCGGAGCACAGGCTCCGGACGCATAGGCTCAGTGGCCATGGCTCACGGGCCCAGCCGCTCCGCGGCATGTGGGATCTTCCCGGACCGGGGCACGAACCCGCGTCCCCTGCATCAGCAGGCGGACTCTCAACCACTGTGCCACCATGGAAGCCCGAATTTTTACTGATTTTTAACGCTACCATTCAATTTATGACGGTTTAGCATGAGTATAATTTGTGTTCACCTCATACAACATGTCAATTTAAGCAAATAAAACATGAGAATACTACCATTTCACCCAGAAAAAAATATCACTGATAAACCTTTGCTTTATATGCCTCTTTTTAAATGCCTCTGTCTCCACGTTCTGGTCTTTTACTCATATTCTAGTGCAGCAGATAATTATACCAAGTCATTTAGGTCTGTTCCGTTTCACTGCTCTAGGTTTCTGAAGAAACCTCTGTAGTCTCCAGAGTCCAAGAAGGGTTCTAGCATGAAACAAGGAGGCAGCGCTTCGTAGGACAACATTGCCAGGGGCTGACGTGCATCGACTGAATTCTTGCTTGTGTGCTCAGCAAGTCACCTTCATCACAGCACTGAATCCTTGCAAGCCTGCGTATTCAGATGTCATTATTACTTCTTACCATTTTACAGCCGAGCAGCCCAGTGCCTAAAGAGGTTTGATAAGGTGTGGCCTCAGGACACAAAAACCTGATTTGCATACAGGTGACCTGAGACTTCCTGCTCTTTACCCCTCACTGCTAAACTGTCCAGTCAAGCCATATACACACTTTTTAAAAAAATATGTATTTATTTATTCATTTATTTTTGGCTGCGTTGGGTCTTCGTTGCTGCACACAGGCTTTCTCTAGTTGCGGCGAGCGGGGGGTTACTCTTCATTGCAGTGTGTGGGCTTCTCATTGCGGTGGCTTCTCTTGTTGCACAGCGCAGGCTCTAGGCGCACAGGCTTCAGTAGTTGTGGCTTGCTGGCTCTAGAGCGCAGGCTCAGTAGTTGTGACGCACGGGCTTAGTTGCTCTGCGGCATGTGGGATCTTCCCGGACCAGGGCTCGAACCCGTGTCCCTTGCGTTGGCAGGCGGATTCTTAACCACTGCGCCACCAGGGAAGCCCCTACACACTTACATTTTTTTTTTTTTTCACACTTACATTTTTTAATGGAGTTTTATAATTGACTCTTGGTGTGTTCTCATCAAGGCGGCCGTTTTTGCTGAATCCTACTTTTAATACAAGATTGTGTCCACGTTATGTTCTTCGGATAGTCTTTCCATCAGATCAAGGCAGAGAAGGTCCTCACTAAAACCAACAGGATCACGCTCAACAATAGCTCTATTCTGCTTAACATCTTAGGATGCTGATGTATTGGTGTTTGAAAGGAAATGTGTCAGCTTCTATGGAAAATGACTTGCCTAATTTCTTTTTTTTTTTTAACATCTTTATTGGAGTATAATTGCTTTACAGTGTTGTGTTAGTTTCTGCTGCATAACAAAGTAAATCAGCCATACATATACATATATCCCCATATCTCCTCCCTCTTGCATCTCCCTCCCTCCCACCCTCCTTAGCCCACTCCTCTAGGTGGTCGCAAAGCACCAAGGTGATCTCCCTGTGCCATGAGCTGCCTCATATCTTAATGAAGGAGGTTGGATTCTCTAATTTTCAAGGTTCCTTCCAGATGCTGGACAGTTTTATGTATATCCAGGTGTCAAAATAAGAAAAATACTGTCGGAACTTCTGACAGTAGTGAATCGTTGGCTGGCTTGGCCAGCGCAAGGAAAGCCATTCTCCTGCAAGCCAAATGTGATCCAGACAGTCACTAGAAAACACTAAAAAGCCTATACCTCGTGCCTGAACCTCAGCCATCCTTAGCAAACAGAACTGGGCCATATCCACAAAATCGATTTTAAAAGGGAAAACAAGCCGAGATTCGTAAGTGATCTGCCTTGTAAACAGGTCAGTCTGTACTGGACTTGCTGATTCAACAGCGAACTGTACCATCTACAGTTACTGTTTCTTAAAGTAGCAGTGTGGGCAGCTGCTGGCAAAGCTGCAGCCCCGGGAAGCAGGCGGCCGGCAACCCTCTCTTCCCTGTTCCTCTAACATATACTTGCAGCAACTGGGAGGGAAGTGTGTGTAGTGGATTTCAATGAAAGAGACTTTTTTTTTTTTTTTTTACTGGTATCATACATACAGTACATTCTCACATCTTTAAAAAAATCTTTTGACTTCCTTCATGTTACACACCCAAACCTCTCAACGGAACCCTAACCAAACCTCTCTCTGCAGACCAAGGGTGCTCATCTAGGTAGAGGTGATGGGGCCTCTGAGGAGAAGACATCTGGCAATATCCAGAGACATTTCTGGTTATCACCACTTGAGGGGTGCTGCTGGCATCGAGTGGGCAGAAGCCAGGGCTGGACAGGATAGCACCCGCAACAGAGGGTGACCAGGTCCAAAATGGCAAGAGTCCATGCTGAGACACCCTGCCGTATACGTGCAACAAACAGCCTAAGAAGACCTATCGTCTATTTAACCACCAAAGATCCATCGCACACCTCTTTTAGCTGACGAGGAGACAGCAGTGTTCATTCGAGACGAAGCCCTTGTCCTCATGAAGCGTATGCTCTAGAACTGGCACCCCTGCCTCTCTGAATTTCCCAGATTCCTGAAGGCAAAGAAACAATGTTTAGGTTCCTCTTTGTTGGCCTGGGAGGCAGGAAGTGTGAGAGAAAGTTGAGGGAGGAATATACCAGTAATATAACATTGAATGTGTCCACTCCTGGAAGGCTATACGGCCAAAGCTGTGGACAATCACAGAACCAAGGAATCAGGACCTACTTTCACATTCTTTGAATACTATGTCACCCTCTCACAGGACACAGCTGGAGCTGGGAACACAGCAGTGGAACAAGAAACGCCTCCTGGTGGATCAGGTTAAGGAGTTTGAATTGTTCCACTAGGAGTTTCCCCTCTGATTTAATGATAGTAATATAGTAATGGCTTCCTTTTACTGAGCACGTACTATATGAGAGGGGTT